CCTTCAGCACCACATGAGCCGGGACTGTGTCTCCAGGCTGCCATAGGCCCCTTTGGAAATTCAGGAGCAGGGCTTTGGGCCGGCCAGTTTTCAATGGATTGCAGTGATGTTTTCACATAAACATACGTCCGGGGGCCAGGAGCTGCTGACATGCAGGCCCGGGGCCCACGGCCGGCGTAAGCATGGCTGGGGCCTTCAGGTGGTATCTGACATGCAGGCCTGGGGCCCATGGCTGGTGGAAGCGTGGCTGGGGCCTTCAGGCAGTGTGTTGGCATGATGGCGTGAGGACTCTGATGGAGGCAGGAGGGAAGCAGCAGGACTGTGAAATAAGTAGAGAAGATGCTCAGAAGGGGGCCACATGTGCATGCCCGGTCCCGCAGCCATGGGGCAGGCCCCGCCACACCACCCTCAGACTCACCCTGTGTTTAGGAACTTGCAGGCCTCTGCGGCTGTCTCTGCCAGAACAGCAGGGGACGCAGGGACCTTGACTCAAGGGCTGGTTCATCAGCCCACTGCTCCTACTTCAGTCAACTGAACTCTGTGCCTGCTGACAGCACCTCACCGCCTACCATGCTGCTTACAGTCACCTGTGAACGCATTGGGGACCCGTCTTCTCCATCTTTCCCTGAGCTCCTGTAGCTCTCAGAGTCATTTATCGCTTGATTATTGTCATGGATTGAATTGTGTCCCCCAAAAATGTGTGTATCAATTTGCCTAGGCCGTGATTCCCAGTATTGTGTAGTTGTCCTCCATTTTGTGATTGTAATTTTATGTTAAAGAGGATTAGGGTGGGATTGTAACACCCTTGCTAAGGTCACATCCCTGATCCAACGTAAAGGGAGTTTCCCTGGGGTGTGGCCTGCACCACCTTTTATCTTACAAGAGGTAAAAGGAAAGGGAAGCAAACAGAGAGTTGGGGACTTCATACCACCAAAAAAGCAGTGCTGGGAGCAGAGTGTATCCTTTGGATCCAAGGTTCCTGCACAGAGAAGCGCCTAGTCCAGGGGAAGATTAATGAGAAGAACCTTCCTCCAGAGCCAACAGAGAGAGAAAGGCTTCCCCTGGAGCTGATGTGCTGAATTTGGACTTCTAGCCTACGAGACTGTGAAAAAATAAATTTCTCCTTGTTAAAGCCATCCGCTTGTGGTATTTCTGTTATAGCAACACTAGATGACTAAGATAATTTTTCTCTGACATTTACTAAGCTTGCCTCCATATCCAGTCATCATTTGGTCAACAAGCATTTATTGAAAGATGGTGTGCATACCTGTGCCAGGCTCTGTGCTGGGCCCTGGAACACCATTCCTGCTCCCAAGGCGCTCACATCTGCAAGAGACACAAGCCTGAGATTCTGCCACTGTGTGGTCAGTGCACTTACAGACTTGCCCCCAAGGGCCAAGGAGTCAGGGAAGACTGCCCGGCGGCAGCAACACCTGAGCTGAGTTTTGGAAGGTAAATAGTAGTCAGGTCTGTTCCAGTTCAGATTAGTCAGCATTCCTGAAGGCCCACTATGTGCCAGGCACTTGCTATGTCCTAGAGAGATAGGCAAGAGTGAGAAACTGTTAGAAATGTGTGTGTTTGGGGATGGATAGGAAGACTTAATAGTATCAAGATGTCCATTCTTCCCAACATGGCTTATAGTCTCAATGCAATCGCAACCAAAATCCCAGCAGGTTATTTTGTGAATATCCACAAACTGATCCTAAAGGCAGAAGACTCAGAATAGCCTATACAGGAACCTCACTTCCTCTGTCCACTGTTGTGTCAGCTCGGGAATCTCGCTCCCTCTCCCATGGTCAGGAGGACCCACTATTGCTGTTAGCCACACTGCATCCACCTCAATTCATTCCAGCAGATGGCTGCCCCTCTCCTGGCTTCAAGACATCCCTGAAGTTCATGCTGGGACCTCTGCCAGCACTGTCATGAGAAAGCCTTCACCACGGACTTGCCAGCAGAACCAGCAAATGCACCTTCACCTCCCTCCTGCTGCCTCTGCTTCCAAATTTCATTCAGCTGCATATGATTGGCCAAGCCTAAATCACATCCTGAACCCAGCTGCAAGGGAGTCTGGGGATGCAGTTTTCCGCTTTCAGACCCTGTAGTATAGGACGGCACCTAGGAAGGTGGATTGGATGTTGAAACCAATGTGCTATAACCTCTGGAAGCCAAGAGTTGGATCCCGAGCTTCGCAGATGTCCAACTGAGAGAAGATGAAGGCCTGAACTCAAAGGTGTGAAAGAGACCAGCATGGGGCTGTTAGCAGGCAGGTGCTGATTGGATGTAGGGGTGAGAGAGCAGCCTGGCTGACAGCCCCAGGCATTCTGGCTCGAGCCACTGGTGGACAATGGGCAGGCACAGTGCTAGGAGCACTGAGGGAGAAGCTGGCCCTGGGAGGATGATGGGAAGGTCACTTTGGATAGGCTGAGTTGGAGGTGCCTGAGGCAGAAGGAAGGAGAAGTCTGGATAAAAGGAGAGCTGCCTGGGCTGGAGCCTGAGCCTAGGAAATCCTCAGTGCACAGGCAGGGCCAGAGGCCAGGGAGTAGGTGAGTAGAGGGTGAGAGGGTGTCCCACTTGAGACAGCCGAGCTCATATACACCAGCAGGAAGGCCCACCTCGAACTCACTGCTTATCTCACAACAGATGGGGCTGGCTGAACCACAAGCCAGCTCTGGAGGGAGCTGGGCCTGGGGGCATGAGGAGCCTTGGGGTAGACAGCCAGAGAGGGTGCCATGGCCAGTATATATCCAAGGAGCCTGGCTGGAAATAGCACAAGAAGCCAACCTGGCCAGACCCAGCTGAGATGTCTAGCCTCTACGTGACTTCTTTCTGAGAGCCGATGGAATTTTCCATTATAGTGCCATAGCTGAGGGCTGGTGATTGGAATGTCACAGAGAGAAAGAGTCATAGATGGATTATTGCAGTAAAATGTAGCAAACACATGATAACTTATTCATGAAGGCATCACACAGTCTTAATTAAGCTCACAAGCCCTAAAACGGAAATTGGATGTTTTTTTTTTTTTCACTTCCAGCCCAAGGTCCAAAGTAGTCAGGCAGGCCTAGGCAGAGCAGAATAGCCAAGGCCTTCAAGAGTCCTCCCTACTGGTAGAAACTAGAGAGCTCTGGATCCTCCAGGATTTCCCACTCCTCTCGGCCAAGCGGAAAAAGCAACAACTGCCCTTCACTCTCCCAAGACCTGAACAATCTTCTGTCCAGAACCATTGAAGGCTTTAGCTGGTGTTATGGATTGAATTGTGTCCCCAAAAAATGTGTGTCAACTTGGCTAGGCCATGATTCCCAGGATTGTGTGACTGTCCACCATTCTGTCATCTGATGTGATTTTCCTATGTGTTGCAAATCCTACCTCTATAATGTTAATAAGGCAGGTTTAGAAGCAGTTATGTTTGAGACAGGATTCAATCTACAAGATTAGGTTGTGTCTTAAGTCATCTCTTTTGAGATGTAAAAGAGAGAAGGGAGCAGATAAACAGGGGTCCCCCTACCACCAAGAAAACAGAGCTGGGAGCGGAACGCGTCCTTTGGACCTGAGGTCCTACACAGACACGCTCCTAGACCAGGGTAAGATTGATGACGAAGACCTTCCTGCAGAGCTGACAGAGAGAAAGCCTTCCCCTGGAGCTGACGCCCTGAATTCAGACTTCTAGTCTACTAGACTGTGAGAGAATAAACTTCTGTTTGTTGAAGCCATCCACTTGTGGTATTTCTGTTATAGCAGCACAAGATAACTAAGGCAGCTGGCCTGGACCAGGAGTGGCCCAGCAGAGGAAAGGACCAGATCTTTGAGGTCAATTGGTTCCACCCCTCTTTTCTCTGGTCTCAGACTTCACATCTCATCCCCTTGGACCATGACTTCTGAACCATGTTGTATGAAGTCCCCTAATGTGACCTCAGAGTTGACTCAGTACACAGGACAGGCAAGCCTACTCCTGGTCCTAGTCATGGCTCCCCCAGGAATACAGCTCTTCAGGCTGCTTGTCTCTCTGGGTCCCCTCCAAAGGTGCAGACCCTTGGAGTACAGGGCTTTCCCCATGATCTCTGCTGTCCAGCAAAGCTCCCATACCTGTCCTCATGGACCCTTCATTCTCTATTTTAAAGTATTATTCTTTTCTAGAGCAAAATGGAAGAGGATGACTACATATTAAGTACCAAGTGGGAGATAGGCACTATGCTTGGAGCTTTACCTGCCTTGGCTCATTGTGTTCTCTCAATAACCCTTGGGAATAAGGATCATTGTTCCTAATTTACAGATGAAGAAATGGGGTTTATTGCAGGTCAGGTAACTTTCCCAACGTCATGTAGAACCTTCCATGGGTAATAGATTGAACTCAGTTCCAGGCCAGTGTGGTCCCAGCTCCTGCACCCAGCCATTTCGTGCCAAAATTCAGGGTGCCATCCCAACCAGAGACCTTTCTACAAGAAGCTTTGTAAGATCACCTGGATCCTCTCAGAACCAATTGTTCTAGACCAAAGGTGTTCGTCTAGAAATAAAAATTCTAAGAGTAGGCACTTCTGAGTACCATTTTCTCTTTGTTTGGCAATGGAATGTTCCCTTCCTCTTTTCCTCTGTGCTCATCTCCAGCTTCCTCTAATTCTGGAATCAGGTCTCCCACTGGACCAACCAAGAGCAGACACCATGCCTACTTCATTCACTGCTTCACTTTTAGCACCTCACAGGTGCCCAGTCAATATTGTTGAATAAAAATATGCTAATAAGCCCTAGTCCAGGTTGACCAGCACCTCACGTCTCAGTCTTAAAGCCAAAAGTCAAATACTACCTTGACCAATCCAGTTCCTGAGAGAAAGCAGTAGAGGAGAATACCAGTGGTGTTAATTGTACCTTGATTCACCAACTTAATCAAGAGGCCTTTTGTTGTCTCATTTCTGTGTGTGGCTAGTCACCCCTGGAGTCAGAGGCTCTTGGTACCCTCTGAGTATGAGTTAGGAGTTGACTCTGATCTGGATTATTTCTGACTTGTACAGGGAAGGAGCGGCTTGCTGCTTGCCTTGGAGTTACTGTTCAGGAAGCTGCCCAGTTTTTGGAGAGCTTTTTGCAGAAATACAAGAAAATCAAGGATTTTGCCCAAGCAACTATTGCCCAGTGTCACCAGACAGGTAAGCCGGCTATAGCCAAAGCTATTGGTCATTCCCAACCCCCTCTTGCTCTTGCTCTGCAGCAGCCAGGTGGTTTCCACTGCTCCTGGATCTGTTGATGGGTGGTTGGACAGATGGGTGGATGGATATGTGGATGAGTGGAGGCTGGATCACAGTAGATGGTTGATGGAGGCTGGTGAGTGGTTAGTTCAGTGGGCAAGCAACTGAGTGAGTGGTTCTACTCCTGCTGGATAAATAGGACTAAAAGTGCTCTACATGAGAAGAGTCTAGTGTGAGCTCTGCTTGAAGTTGATGGCTGGAATGGGCCCCCATGCCTCGACGTATGTTTCAAATATTTTAAAAAATAAATAAAGGCATTACTTATACAGTTAATCCTCATTATTCGAGACTTCCGTATTTGCAAATATGCTTACTCACTAAAATTTATTTGTAATCCCAAAATTAATACTTACAGTGCCTTCTCTGTCATTGGTGGACATGTGCAGGTAGCCAAAGATTTGAGTTGGTCAACATGCATATTCCCAACTGAGGTCAAACAAAGTGACATTCTGCCTTCTTATTTCAGCTCTCATACTGTAAACAAGTGTCCTTTTCATGGTCTATTTAGTACCACATTTTTCACAATATTGTGCTTTTTGTTGGATTTCACTGTTTAAAATGACTCACAAGCATAGTGCTAAAGTGCTGTCTAGTGTTCCTAAGTGCAAGGGGCCTGTGATGTGTCTTATGAAGAATATACATGTTAGATAAGCTTCATTCAGATATGAGTTACAGTGCTGTTGGCCGTGAGTTCAATGTTAATGAATCAACAATATATATTAAATAAGGTGTCTTTACTGATCAGTTGATGAAAATATTGTGATTAGAGGCTTGCAGAAACCTAACCTTATATTTCCACTAGGAACAATGGTTCACTGTTTGCTAATCCAGTGTTCATGGTGACTTTATAGAGTATAATTACCACAAATAATGAGAATTAACTGAATTTTTTAAAAATAAGAAATTATGGTCAAAAACACAGAAACAAAGGAAGAGCAAGTGGCTATGAAAATAAAACAAATAACAATGTTAGGGGAAAAGTCATTAAAATAAAAGACACAATCACTGGACATAATTGAAGATCGAATTAAGGAACTGAAAAAAAGTGCTGAGGAACTCATCCAGGATGCAATGCAGAATAACAAAGGAGTAAAACAAATAAATAAACCACAAAAACAAGAGCATGTAAGAAACACAGAAGATAGAGTTAGGACCCATCAAAGGACTACTAGAATTTTCAGAAGAAGAGAATGAAGGGACTGGTGGAGTACCAACATTGGAAGAGATAATAGCTGAGGCTTCTCCAGAACTGAAAAAGACATGAGTCCTCAGATCAGACTATACTCCCAATTCCAAGCAAGATGATTAAGGTCTAGACACATTTTAGTGAAACTATAGAAAATAAACTATAAAGGGACAATGCTTTCAGTTTTTAGGGGAAAAAAAGACAGATTGTTTACAAAGGAACAGAAACTAGACTGACAGCTGACTAGTCATTAGTGCCAAAAGATGCTGGAAGACAATGGAGGCATTTATCTTCAAAGTGCTGAGTGAAATAACTGTCAACCTAGAACTGTATACCAGTCACACAGTCAGACCAGAAGGGGCAGAATAAGGCCTCTTAGACAGACAAAGCATCCAAGAAAGTTTATACCATCTCACCCTCACCAAATGATGCACGTCAGCGGGAAAAAAGTGAAGCTAGACGTGAAACGATGGTGAGCACCAAAAACCAAACAACTTATTGTTTAAAATATCAGTAATTTATATAGTTATTGACTATTTAAAAACCTAATTTGTGATTTTTTTTTTAAAAGATTAATGATGAATAATAAAACAATGAAGTAATGGTGATCGATAAGTAGTCTAAAATATACTAAGTCTCCTTTTGTGGTCAAGAGAAAGATAAGCATGTTTAACATCTGTAGATAGAAAAATTTATAGTAACAATAAAATAAAAATACAATCTATGGCTTCCGAATTAGCAGAGAGAAGAAAGGAATAAAAAAATAGTATTAACTCAAAAGGTGTCAGAACAGGGAAAAACAAAAAGCAAAGAAAAGAGATTATAAGCAGACAAATGCTATAGAAAGAAGTTCAAATAAATTAATAATCAAAATAAATTTAAGTGGATTAAACTTATGAATGTGCTTTTCATAAAAGATTACCATAAAACACAACTACAGTGAGAGGTACAGCATAATGAAGTAGAAAAATATATACCCTACAATTTTTTTAAGGTATTATAATACTAATAGAAGGCAAAACGGAATTTAAGAGAAAAATCATTAAGGGTAAAAAGTGACGTTACATGATATAAAAGGAACGGTTAATCCAAGAAGATATGCCATTCATAAACTTGTACACATACCTAACAACATTGCCTCAAATATACAAAGCAAAAACTCTCATAATTACAAGAAGAAATTGGCAACCTGAAATCAGGTGGGAGATTTTAATACACCTCTTCCAGAGATTAATAGAGAAAGCAGACAAACATTAAAAATAAGGATACAGAAATTTTGAATAACAAAATTAACAAGCTTGAGCTAATGGATGGTAGATGGAGAAATAGATACATAGATATAGATAGATAAAAGCTCACATCTAAAAATGGAGAATAGACTTCTGGGCAACATGGCCCTATAGTCAGAAGCACCACGCTGTCCCTCCGCAGCAAAGATCAGAAAAACTAAGAGTCACACATCAATCTTGAAACCTTAAGCATCAAATGAAGAGGTAAAGAACTCAGCCAAGCACCGAATGGAATAAGCAACTAACTGAGAACAGAGAGCAAGGAGAGATACATACAGAGGTCCCCTCAGCTACTGCAGCACAGATCCGCCATCTTGGACTCCTATTGGAGATCGGCGAACAGGGGTTGCGAGAAAGCAGCTTCATGGAGCTTCCAGCAGGAGACAGAACAACCGGTAACCAGCGATATATGCTTTCCCACCCCCCATCCTTCTTCACCCCCACTTAGCCTCCTCTGCTTCCCGCAGCCACAGTCTCTTGGCTGGGAAGCATCCGCTTCACCCCAGTGTCACTTGGATTCCACCCGCCCACACTGGGCAGCTCCCTGAGTGCCTTTTGCTGGCTGCTGGTGTTGCTTTTTTCTGCTTCTTTAGATTTCTTCCTTACCTCTCACCACCTCCCCCTCCTTTCTCTCAAATACCTGGCTCCGTGTGCCATCTTTATCTCTTTCTGAAAGGCTACGAAACACTGCTTGACTGTGAAACTGCTTCCCAGCCTGTGCCGCCATGCTGGTGGGACCCCCGGGATTTTTTTGTTTGTTTGTTTGCTCTGATTTGTTCTGTTTTCATTTGTTTGCTTGTTTTCTTTTTCTTTTCTCAGCTTGGGAGCCCCTTCTAGCTGGGCAGTACCGTGTAGCTTGGAAGCTACTCCCTTGCTCTGTGCAGACATACATGGACATCCCTGGGGGCATTTCTTTTTTCTTGTTTCTTTGTTTTGTTTTCTTCTCTCTCTTGTCCCATTTTTGTCTTTCTTCATTTCCAGTTTCTTGATTTATCCATTTTTTTCTTTCACCCTTTTTCTTTTTTTTTTCTTTTTGTTTTTCCCCATTTCTCAGTCTCTCATCACTCCAATAGCAAGCTCCCTTAGCACTCTTTTTTGTTTGTATGTATGTTTTTGGCTCCTGTTCCTCTCTCCTCTCTCATCTTTCCCATACCTATCTTAGCTCCACACATTACAATCTACCCCCTCCTTCCTGCCTACCTGCACCGTGCACTGAACATCACACTCCCAAGCAGCACAGGCACGGCCTACTGGAACCTGCCCTACACTGATTCCTGGTCCGCACTCTCAGCCCTGGTATGTGCCACAAACAACCCATCCCAGCAGCTCCCCTTCGGCTGGACCTGCCCTGCTGTACCATACCTGAGTGACTGTTATGGTTTGAATTATGTGCCTCCAAAAATGTGTATATCAGTTTGGCTGGGCCATGATTCCTGGTACTGTGTGATTTTCCTATATGTTGTAAATCCTGCCTCTATAATGTTAATGATGGAGGATGGGTGGCAGTTGTGTTAGTAAGGCAGGACAGGATCTACAAGACTGGATTGTGTCCTGAGG